TCCTTGATTGCTCCTTTTATAGCTTGATCATCTAGGGGACCCACAGGTTTTTTAGCAGGCTTCTTGCTTCTAATGTACTTAAACATTTTGTTATTTCTTTTTGAGTTTTTGGCTAGCTGTTCCTCAAAATCTTTTTTTGCTTTTCTTATTACATGTTTACACTTGATTTGACAGTGTTTATGTTCCTTTCTATTTATCTCACTAGGATTGGACTTCCAATTCTTAAAAGATTCCTTTTTGTCCCTCACTGCTTCTTTTACATGGTGGTTAAGCCACGGTGACTCTTTTTTAGGTCTCTTGCTATGTTTTTTAATTTGGGGTATACATTTAAGTTGGGCCCCTGTTATGGTGTCTTTAAAAAGTTTTCATGCAGCTTTCAGGGACTTTGCTCTAGTCATTGTGCCTTTTAATTTCTGTTTAACTAACCTCCTCATTTTTGTGTAATTCCCCTATTTGAAATTAAATGCCAGGGTGCTGGACTGTTGAGGTGTTCTTCCCACCACAGGAATGTTAAATATTATTATATTATGGTCACTATTCCCAAGCGGTCCAGTAACAGTTATCTTCTGGACCTGATCCTGCACTCCACTCAGGACTAAATCGAGAATTGCCTCTCCCCTAGTGGGTTCCTGCACCAGCTGCTCCAAGAAGCAGTCATTTAAGCCATTGAGAAATTTTATCTCTGCTTCTCTTCCTGAGGTGACATGTATCCAGTCAATATGGGGATAATTGAAATCCCCTATTATTATAGAGTTTTTTATTTTGGTAGCCTCTCTAATCTCCCTCAGCATTTCAATGTCAGTATCGCTGTCCTGGTCAGGTGGTCGGTAATATATCCCTACTGCTAATTTCTTATTATTGGAGCATATAATTACTATCCATAGCGATTCTATGGAATAGGTTTGGTTTCTTTTTTTTTAAATATGCACCACCCCATTAGAGAAAGGAAAATCATGTCAGTTGGTCTAAGCTTGGTTGTATTTATCTAAAAAAAAAAAAAATACTATTATACTGAGTTACATTACCAGCCACAATCACCCTCGAAGAAGAGTTCTTTGTCTTCATCAAAAGGACAGCACATATGATTATGAGGAGTAAAGGAATCATTTCCCACCCTCCATCTTCTCTTGGCTGATTAGGAATTCACTTTTCCTAGCTTAAGGAGGACCATACAAGTTTAGAGTTGTGCTTTAAAAAACAACAACAACCACACACCAGTTTTATTCTCCTCTCCAGTGAGGATTTGAAAGCTAATATTCTTACCTAAGTGCCAGACAGGTTACTTCGGAGCCACGCATCTTCATTCAGCGTAAAGACACCCAAAAGCGGCAAATACAGACAACAAAAACTCTAAAAACCTAAAAGCGAACAGCATCAATTGTTTAGAATTGATAACAATTACAATTATTCTTTATTATGTTTGTCTTCATAATCATGAGCTTCTTTATAATTACTTCAAAGCCGTCAGAGTTGATCTTTCATCCAAAATGGCCATGTACAAAATGGTATAATTTGGGTTTTTTTGGTCACAGTAACTTGCTTTCAGGATTCAATCTACATTTTAATTCGGATCAATATGGTTATGAAAGGCTGCCAGCATCCTCTGTTTTTTTTCCTAAACGTTGTTTGGCTCTTGCCAGCATGCTTGAAAGAGCTTTCCTGGTGTCAATTGCCTTCTCTCAGATTCCCCTCGCCCTTGTTTCATTAAGCCTAAGGCATGCCTTCGCTAACATGCTGCTATACAGATGGCCTCTCACACTGAGGGTACATCTAGACAGTGGTGCTATTTCAGGATACTTCTGGTGTCCCAAAATAACTATTCCATGTCTTTTAAGCAAGCCCATTATTTCGAAATATAACGGGCTCACTATTCCAATGTCCCTGTAAACCTCATTCTATGAGGATTGAAGGACGTTTCAGAATAGTGGTTTATTTTGAAATTGAAATAAGCTATTTTGAAATTGACTCAAAATAAACTACACAATTTGTATAGGTCAAATAGCATAGCTTATTTCGAGCTAAGGGTGTAGTGTAGACAAACTCTGAGAGAAGAGGTTTTTGTGTTGATGCATTTAATGGCAACTAAGATGTGATAGCTAGGTCAAAAGAATTCTAGGTGCATATACAGTGTGGTTTGGTTTGACTTGACTTCACTATGTCAAACTGGGCACAATGTATCCAGGTCAGTCTAATTTTAGGTACAGACTAGGCCTCACTAAGATTTGTTGTTTCTCTCTTTCTCATGCCAAAAAAACTGTCCAGATCATTTGTTGTTTTTTAAGTTTATTTGTGTATGATGTTTGTCAGGCCTTTGGGCCCTACCGTTTTCCTTCTGAGGTATCGTGAGCATAATGCATGAATATTACACTTGGCTTTTTGCAAGAGTCTGGGAACACCAGATCTCAGTATTTCATGTCCCCATATTATTTTATACTTATTTTCAGTCTACTTTTAGAAACAGTGTCACAGATGTGTTTGAAGAACTTTTGACTATAGACCAAGAAACAGAGAGGACTAAGTTGTGAATTATTTCAGATTTCTACTCCTTTCACTCACTGCAGCTTCTATAATTGTATTCTCATAATAATATAATTTGCAAAACACAGCCAGACACAGCTCAGTAAGAGCTCCTGAACTAAAAGGAACCAACCTTTCCCTGGGGCAGAAATGGAATAGCAGATCACACTAAAAGCTGAACCCTATTTGCCTCAATACTTGTTAGTTATGGTGTCTGATTTTCCGCTCTGATATGCAGTCTCTTTGAGACTAACTATCTTTAACATGAACTAAACCTATGAAGAGATACGTGGTAGCTTCCTCAAACTTCACTTGTGGCTTTAGAGTAGGAGGTAGAGGGATAGCTCAGTGGTTTGAGCACTGGCCTACTAAACCCAGGGTTGTGAGCTCAATCCTTGAGGAGGACCATTTAGGGATCTGGGGCAAATCTGTCAGGGATGGTACTTGATCCTGCCGTGAGGGCAGAGGACTGGACTGGACGACTCCTCACAGTCCTTTCCAGCTCTATGAGATAGGCACATCTCCATATATTGAGAACATTATCTGTAGCTCTTCTCAGACAAGAACTTGGGGTCTCAAATGCAAGTCACCTGAATGCTGTTATATTAGTGTCTAGGACCCTGCATCACCAAAAGAAGCCACATTTTAATCTCCATCACAAGATTTCTGACAATTAACCGTCAACAATTTCAATCCAACAAGAGAGCACTTCTGAATGTCATTATAACAATATGTATATATACATTCATTCCATAGTTAACTGTAACAAAACAAAACAAAAGACTACATTATTTAATGTGATGAAACTAGAGATTTAAGAGTTTTCCTTCAACAGCTTTATCCAGAATCCCAGCTCTTTTAATGACACCATCGAAATGCAGAATGTATTAGTTTCACATCTAACTCCTCCCACTCTGCTCATTTTTACAAGTAATGGCAGTAGGTGCCATCTGACATCCTTTCCCCACCTGTGTATTTCCATACCCTGTGATACCTGTCCAGTAAGAGAGACTGATTATTATTGGCTAATTCTGACACATCAAGGCACTCTGATGTACAGTGAAGGAAATATTTATGCATGCATAATCAGGATACAAGTCCAACTCTTTCTTATAACCAACATTCTCAGTCTGCCTATTATAGTCTTCAAAGGTATCAGACAACCAGTGAAAACATCTAGTTTACAAAAGCAACACCACATAGGGAATGAAGGATAAACTCACTTCCAGCGCCAGCCATTAAAAAAATCTGCATTTTACTTCCATTCTTTTGTCTTCAGTGCTTTACAGAATCATTATTCCTCCCCACAGCAAACAATTATTTCTCTTCTTCTTCATCATGCCTGAAAGTAGCATTGTATACTATCAAATTTATAAATTAAAATCAGCAGTAACATCCAGAGGGCAGAGAAGAACTTTTTAAAATACCTTCTCATTCAAAGAGGAGGTAAGAGCCAAAGTCAGAATTTGTTAACATTTTACCTATCTATGCACTCCCTGCATATCAGGGATCTGCTCCCAGAGAACACAATGGTGGGAACGTGCTTATCTGCTGCCCCTTGCAATGTGGAAGGGGAGGATTTTGGGTACAGGCAGTTTGTTTCACAACTAAAATAAATTTAAAAAAATAAAAGGAGACGTGGAATAGAGAACAGGAGGTTAAAATCATAAACCTGTAAGTGGTCCTGGAGTTGTTCCAGCCAACACTCCTACTACTAAGAAAACATAGTCGTTCCGGGCAGGTAGTTAATGCTGCCAGTGATGCCACAGAATGAAACAGTTTTTGTTGCCACTGATTACCACAACAGGTGGAGTAGAAAAAGGTCTCTTAGGAAAATGGATTTTCTCCCGTAACTGAATATTAGTTAAGCTCCTCCAAAGGTCCATTTTCATTGGACAGTGTCCCATTCATCTCTGGGGTCGTCTCACTACCCAAATATCCCAGGAGGATCTCACTGCGCCGCCGTGACAGCTGCAGAATGTCTTCCGCCAGCAACTGCACTGTTGTGTATCTCACATTGTCCAGGTCAAACATGTCCTTCAAATACTGCACTATCTGGTGCTGCAAAAAGAGGGGGAATGTTTATAGTAAGGAGATGTGCCCCCACCATACCCAAAGTAAAGCAGAGATATGTTAGTTGCACGGCCCTACAAGAGAATCTTCTATATGGGACTCTGCAAATTTCCCAAACACACAAAGTGTCTATTTCTTAATGTACCAACTTTCTGGATAACCTAACCATACCAGTTTCCTGTGAGGTAGGAAATTTTGTTTTAGGAGACCGGGACTGATATCCCTAGAAGAAAATGGGGCATGGAGGGAGCACAGAACAGGATCCCCGGAGTCAGGAATGTAATCCCACTCTGTGGTAATATCTTATGGCAACTTTTGTAAGCTTAAATTTAAGAAGAAAGCCAAGTTAGGCAGAGTCAAATAAGAACTGAGAAAGAACAGTGACATTTAGAATTCAAGATCAAATGTCTGTCCAACATGATCTTAAGCTTCTGACTAACCTCTGAGTTGATGAGCAATGTATTGAAATGGAATATGTGCCCTTAATCTATTCTGAAGTTACAGATTTTGTCTAGTGTCTCATTTTGCATATTCTTACAAGAGTAGCATAGTTAGTACCAAGTTCTAATAAGAATTCTAATAAATCTTATGCAGGATGCTGATTTTTAAAAAAGTGAAGATTTAAAACAGATTGGTCTAAGTCAGGTTCCTTAGTATTTTGCCATTAGAGGTCCTTCTATGAATACATGCTCATTGATGGCAAGAAATACATATAGAAGTAAGGTACAGAAGGCCAGCTTACCTTGAAGAAACCACAGACTTCAGACAGCTGCTGTTTGGGCCCCAGAAAACCAAAGGCTAGAACAGGACTGACATGCTCCGATACGGAGTAGAAGTGAGAGATAAAGCCATCTGGTACCTGTCATGGGAAAGGAATCCACACCTCATCTTTGCTCCAGAGAGAATTTAGAAGCCAATCCACTTCACATTAGGTACTCTCATCTGATAACTGAAATGTAGATGTCCTGAGCATGACAAGACAGCTAGCATTTCCTGCTGTTACCATGTACTATTAAAACAGCTGTCATAGTACACCCCAGAAAGGGGTGCATTTGAGAGGCTAAAATTGGGAAGAGAAGCAAAAAAGAGACTTATTCAGCCATCCCTCTTGCAAAGTTAGAAGCCTATCATTTAGATATTTTGAGATCTTACAGGACTTCAGTTGTCCTGAACTTTTTTCCCCTGTCAAACGGAAGCCTACAAGAGTCCTTCAGCTATCAAGCAACCTTCTTGGTCCTGAAACAGCTCAAGTTCTCTAATTTTCCATTTAACACAAGAAATTGTATGAAGTAATGCCAGTTCCTTGATTTCTGAATAGTTTTTAGTACTACAGCAGAGATTTGGAGATGCTGACACATGACAGCACCAGTATTTAACAGTTACTTAGACCTGTACACCATCAAGGCATTTTACAAATTTTAGATAAGCCTTGGATCACTCCAGTGAGGCAGGCATTAGTCTAGACATCGCCTGAATGAGGTTATGTAGAATTTTCAAAAGAGGATATGCAAATTGTGGGAATTTGCATATCTTATTCTGATCTCACTTTCAAAAGAGAATCTTTCGAAAGTGAAAGTAGTCTGGACGTGGGGTTTTTTTGGAAACAAACTGCGTCCCGATTACTGTCACTTTCAAAAGCTCGTCTTTTGAAAGCGAGATCAGAAGATTGCATATCCTCTTTCGAAAAAAACTATAGTTTAGATGTGCCCTTACTGACTGATTATGGCACTGTATTTAAAATAATTTCCCAAGGGTCTGGGACAGAATGATACAACTGGATTAGAAGTCATGAGATCCTGACTCTCAGGCTTGTTGCTGATTAATCTTAGGCTTGTTTGTGATGACATGGCATGATTGGGAAACCGTACAGATTTAGTGAAAAGGGGAAATTCAGTGGGCAAAATCTAATCAGCACATCAGCTAGCTATGGTGCTAGGAGGGGTGCAGGTAAGTGACCTTAGTCCAAAACTCCATCAAAAAAGAAACAGCCCATATAAAAAGGAAACCATTACTATACAGGTTGTACTTCCCTAAATGGTGATTCTCTGGTCTGGCAACATCCTTGGTCCAGTAGGACCACGGATGTCGCTGGACCACAGAACCCAGGAACAGGGAGGTCTGGTGGCAGAGTCAAGAGCATGGCGGGGTGGCTGGCAACTCAGCCAGCGGCCCCATGGCTGGGACAGCAAATGTGGAGCTCTGGCTTTTGGGAGCCCTGGCTGGGACAGCAGCAGGGGGGCTGGTGCCAGAGCCATGTGGCAACAGGTCAGGGGCTGGAGCCCAAGCCCAGGGCAGCAGGGTCGTACACTGACCAGAAGCAGCCGACAGGAGTGGGGGTGGCAAGCTCAGAGGCCAGTGACAGGGGACTTCCCCTTGTCCAGCAAATCCTGAGGTGCCAGAGCAGAGAGGTCCAACCTTTAGTTTTATATGCAGTAAATATGGAATATTGAGATTTGCTTGTAAATAAGCAAGATTGGATAGGAACTTCATTCAGAGTGCCCTGGTATCTGGGGAGAAGGTCCCTTCAACAAAGATGTCAGTAGACTCCTGATATTTCAGATGTGTAATAGGACAGTTTAGTCTGTTCTTGTAAAAAATCCCTTTAGATTTATTTTTCACCAGGGTCCAGATCACATCTTGGGGACAATCAGGTGCTTTGTGTTCCTTCCTTTGCCCCCCAAATCTCCTCCCGCCACCACTCTCACACATTCTCCCTTGCAGCTACATTTTATTTTTATTTGTTTTACTAACCATTAGAAGCCTCCTCTTTGCTTTCAGAACTGACCAACAGGCAGTTGCTAGGGCCTGCAATTAAAAAAAACAAACAAAAAAACCCACAAGATCAGGTAATGATATGAGCCTTTCAAAAAACAAACAAACAAAAAAAACCACAAGATCAGGTAATGATATGAGCTTTTCCAGAGAACAGGATGCAACTTACCAATATATTGCCATGACTGAGGCTTGGAGCATTCTGCAGCCTTTTACTGAATGGCAAATAGGGTCCCTGATCAATTCCAAAGTTAAACTTAAAAAAACTGAAAGCATGCTTGGTCATTTCAAATTAATTCCAGACCAAACAGTGCTTATGAATACTCCTAATACCACACAATGAAGGAGGCCCCCCCAGCTACTCCAGAATGCAGATAATAAATACAGGGAAAAACACTACAGGTTGCACCTCTAAAATCCAAGATTCTCTGGTCTGGCAACATCCATGGTCCAGCATGACCTAAGATGTTCCATGACCAGAGAATCCCAGTGTGCTGCGGAGGTGGGAGGAGGGGCAGTGGTCCATGAGCCAGCACGTGGCTCAGTTGGGTTGTGAAGGAGCGGGAAAAAGGAAGCCCACGGCTCAAGTGGACTGTGGGGGGCATGCGGGTCAGTTGGGCTGTGAGGTGTTGTTAGGAAGCAGGTGCACAGCTCAGCTGGGCTGCGGGAGAGGGCCCGTGGCTGAGCTGGGCTGTGGGAGAGTGCCAGGAGGTGGTGTGCTGCTCAGTTGGGCTACAAAGTGGGGGAGGGGGACGCGATTCAGTGGCTCAGCTGGGCAGGAGCGGGATCAGGTGCTGACGTGTTACTCAGTTGGACTGTGGGTGAAGCCAGGAAACAGGGAGAGGGGCAGCAGGGGCCTGAAATGACCTCCCCGGTTCAGAAAAATCCCTTATCCAGGATTAGTCAGGTCCTGAGGGTGCTGGATCAGGCACGTCCAACCTGTATTAATGTGCGGTGTCTGTGGCCACTACTGCTGTATAGTATTATAAGCAGTTAATATGGAATATTGAGATCTGCTTTTAAATAAGAATAGAAACGAGAATCACAGGAACTTCAGGAAGAGTGTCACGGTTTTCAAACAGATATGCTTTTTTGGGCTCCCAGTAAATTAGATCGTCTAAGATATGCAGGACAGCTAGATGTAAGAATATGCATTAATACTCAGGATTCACTGTGGTAGGGTCTCCAATGGAGAAAAGACCTACATAGCAGTAGACACTGAGTCACCCTCCCAGTTGCAAAGTACAGGAAAGTGTTAATTCCTTTACAGCTAGTAAGGTGATGGCTGAGTATCTGTTATCCACACACATTATTCTTCAACAGTGTTATTACAGAGAGTAACTACTAAGGAATGAACTTGCTAGAGACAGCACAGATTTCCTATAAATTACTCAGTTTTACCAAGAGACTGGTCAATTCATATATTTACATGAGGGACAGAAAAATAGAATTATTCCTTAAAGAGACTACTGTGTAATGAGAAAGCCTGACTTTTTTTTCTCATTTCAATAATGAAAAAGTCATTTGAACAAGGACCACCATTTAACACACCGTCTCCTTGAAGCTGTCAGAGAGCCAGCGGTTGCGCAAGATAGCTAGCACAGAGGAAGGAGGGTTCTCTAGGTCCTCAAAAGCATCCATGAGAATGAAGTCCAGCACAATATCAAAGAAGTTCATGCACACCACCTGCCAGAGAACAGAAGAGTCACAGACAAGAGCTTAGAGAGATACCCAGACCCTATCCCCTGTGTAATAGAGCTAACTACAAAACGATTTGCAGACAGACAAGAGCTTAGAGAGATACCCAGACGCTATCCCCTGTGTAATAGTCCTAACTACAAAACGATTTGCAAAGAAAGAGTTGGAATATTGGGTACCTTTAGTTGCCACAGTTTAACTTTCAGGTGTTAAGAACTGGAGTTTCCCCTCCCATAAAACTATTGCAAAGTAGTTTTAACTTAACAGCAGTAGCTTTGGGGTCCAGTGACACCAAGTTGTGAGTACCAAGGTATTCAATTTAGAATTCCTGTTCACTGTTGGCTCCTTCCCGTACATTGGTTCAGGCTTTCATTTATGCTCTATCTTTCTAGAGAAAGTTCCTCTACAAACCCCTCGTCCTTCTAGCTCCCGCTGAGTAGTTGGCCAGGTGTCTTGCTTCAGTGCATAATGTAGCATCTCCTCATAGCTTTCCAGAAAACCTTTGGTATTCTTCATAAAAACAGAGAAAAGAGACAGTGGGAACAATCAGAAGCGATACAGTCTCAGTTTACTATCAAATATTTTTCTAGCCTGTTGATCTGAATGTGTCAAAACGATTTATACATACGTATTTGCCTAATTTTTTGGCCAGTGATGTTTTGCAGAAAGAGAAGGATTTTATTTCTGCAAGGTCTGCTGGGCAACAAAACCACTACCACTTTATGCTTTATTTTGTATGCACTTGGATACGGCGATGAAAGCTATATAAGTACCTAAACAAACAACCTTCTTTTTAGGTGACTAACTGATTCCCATAAGAAGCTACCATTCATGCATCAGGAAGGCAGCACAGTTGTACTGCTCTAGGAGTTGGTTTAATGAATAAAAGCCACATTAAATATTTCCACTCATTGATCTCTGCAGAACAGATGCAGCTACAAACAGAGCACCTGATTTCCCTTCTTCCTCCCTCCCAGTGAGCAGGAGCTCCCTGGAACTCCTTCCCACTCGTGAACGACATCAGTGATAGGGGCTTTAGAGAGGAGGTTGCATACAAAGTTCTCACTGAAAGAACTGGTGAAGAGAGGGCAAACATGGGAACTTGGTTTTCCATTTCAAGTGGATGATTGCTGCAAGGACAGCGGGAGGGGGAAATCATAGAGCTGGAAGAGACCTCATGAGGTCATCAAGTCCAGCCCCCTGCCCAAGGCAGGACCAATCACAACTAAATCAACCCAGCCAGGGCTTTTGTCAAGCCGAGACTTAACCTCTAGGGATGGAGATTCCACCACCTCCCTAGGTAACCCATTCCAGTACTTCACCACCCTCGTAGTGAAATAGTTTTTCCTAATATCCAACCTGGACCTCTCCCACCGCAACTTGAGAGCATTGCTCCTTGTTCTGCCATCCATCACCACTGAGAACAGCCTCTCTCCATCCTCTCTGGAACCCTCCTTCAGGAAGTTGAAGGCTGCTATCAAATCCCCCCTCACTCTTCTCTTCTGCAGACTAAAGAGACCCAAATCCCTCAGCCTCTCCTCATAGGTTATGTGCTTCAGCCCCCTAATTATTTTGGTTGCCCATCCTCTGGACCCTCTCCAATGCATCCACATCCTTTCTATAGTGGAGGTTCCAGAACTGGACACAATACTCCAGAGGTGGCCTCACCAGAGCCAAATAAAGGGGAATAATCACTCCTCTAGATCTGTTGGCAGTACTCCTCCTAATGCAACCTAATATGCCATTAACCTTCTTGGGGGAAATTGGGATGAGTAGTTGTTCCTATAAGGTGCAGCTGTGCTCATACAAGGTGCAACTGAGTTGTCTTCCACTCACACACCCTCCTACCTTCTCAGCCTTAGTCATCAGTCCAGTCACCATCTGCTTTCCAACCTCCCCAAAAAATAACTGGTTGTTCTCATCCTGCAGAAGGGCCTATAAAGAGACCAATGAATCTGATGAGAAACATAAATCCTTATTCCATGAGGGGGAAGACAGGAGACAACAGGAGGGCTCTTATATTAGTGAAACAGGCAAATGTGGATCTCACTTTTTCCTTGGCCTGAGAGCAGTTAAGAATTTAAATAGTGGACTCTATTCAACGCAAGGCCGTAAGCAATGTGAAGTCTATGCTACTATTGGATTTAGTGCCTTCTGGGTCACCCAGCAAATCCTCTTAACTACTGGTTATTCAGACATGTTCTAAAGAAAAAGTATCTAGTCCTTCCTGGCTGGAAAGAGGATTGCCACACAACAAAGCCATAGAAAGGTGAGGTATATAAAAGCAAAACAGAAGGCCACAGGGTAACAGAGGCAAAAGACTTCTTTCCTGTAGGAAATAGGCACAGAATGCTGGAAAAGTCTGGGAGTAAGAAAAAAAGAAAGTGTATGTGACCCCTTGCACTATGATGATGCAAGGATCTGGAAGAGGTACATAGCCACCTGCAGCCTAAAGATATTACTCTGGGGACTGGATGGCTGAGGATAGAAAGCCTTTCACCCCAACGTCATGGGCACAACTCCAAGCCAATTACCATCAGAGGCTGCCAAGCAGCCTGGGTGAAGCAAGTTTGGGAGTCTACAGACAGTTCCCAAAGAGCCAAGAACTTTGCATATAACAATTTTTATAATAAACTTAGTGTCTATCTTGGCTACAAAGCCACATCTTGAGTGGACACAGAGACTGAACCACCTTCTCACTCCTAAATTAAAGGCTAAAACACATTTTGGGGCAGGGGTAGGATACGGAAAGCATGCACTGTTGCTTTCTGTGCTTTACTTGTTCCATAGAAGTGGATGACTTTAGTGTCTAGGACAGGCTTGACAGCCCCTTTCATTCACAGGGACAGGGTGAAGCGAAATGTAGTCTAACAGAAATCCTCCCAAGTGCTGAAACAAAATGGCCAATGTTGATATGGTGGGGCCCCCACTTTTCTTCATGGAGGGCTAGGACATCAACTCTTGCTCCTGTTCTTGGGCACCAAGATCCTGCTAGTGGTCCAGGAATGGGGCGGAGAAGAGAGGCAAGGAAGGAGTCTGAGCCCCAACCCCTCTCAAACCCTGCAGGTTTCTTATACTCTTCCCCTACCCCCCACATGGGTCCCAAAAGGACTCTGAGAAGAGCATCTCTCTATTCTGCTAGGGCAGGGTCTCCCTTCCTCCAGTTCTCTGGTCTTTCACACTCAGCCGCACACCTTTGAACTCCAGTCCTCTCTCCTTCCTCACTCCACTCTGTCTGCCTGAAGCAAGAGGGTTTTATTAGGTTCCTAACAGGACCTTAATTGGCTATAGATGCTTCAATTAGCCTGCAGTAGTCTTCCCTAGTCTACAGGGAACCGCACCTTAATTAGCCTAGGGCATAAGCATCTCCTTTATAATACCTTTTACTGATCCCTCACCCTGCTGTATCACAGCAGATGCAACAGAGTTCTGATAGTTAGACAATTCCTACCTGGAAGGCCTGCCTGACACAGTGCAGCTTTGCCAGGAAATCCTGATCATGGTAGCAGCCTAGAAGTTCTGTCCTAGGAGAGGAAAGCAGGATCTTACAAACGCTAGCATCAAAACAAGATTAATAAGTCTCCTGAAGAGACAGAGGCCATGATCTTGATTTGAGCTCCTAGTTCCTTTAGGCTCCTTTGGAAATCTCAGTCTTTGCATAAACCATGAGTTCCTCTCATGTTAGCCACTGACCTACTTTCAGATAGTCATTTTGATTATTACACTACATGGCTAGATTTGAGTCAACAAGCCAGAGGTGAAATGTGCTATCCCAGGAAACTAGTTATTTTAGGCCACGTCTCCACTGCAGAGTTTGAGCAAAAACTTGTGGACTGTCCACACTACAAGCGTGTTCTTGCACAAGAAAAAGTATAGTAGATCGTTAGAAGACAGGGCTTTTTGCGCAAGAGTTATTCCTCTTTCTACAAGGAATAAGCCTTTTTGCGCAAGAGCTCTTATGGACAGGCAACAGGGGTTTCTTGCACAAGAAACCCCTATGGCTAAAATGGCCATCAGAGCTTTCTTGTGCAAGAGAGCATTCACGCTGCCAAGGACGCTCTTGCGCAAAAGCACATGGCAGTGTGGATGCGCTCTTGCACAAGAACTCTTGCACAAAAAGTTCTTGAGCAAGAAGTCTGCAGTGTAGATATAGCCTTAGAGTGTCTCTCACTGTATGAGGATGTATCAAGTCTGAATCAAGTTAAACTATCCCAAGCAGCACCTGAAGTCTTGGGCTAACTAAAACCACCTTGGAATTTCCAAGCCAGCCGAGAAGATGCTAAAAATCTTCTCTCTCAAAATAGTAGGGGCTTGGCTTAGAATACTAAGTAATCTGAGTTCTTATCTCCAGCCAAAGAAGTCTTGTCATACTGACTGATGATTCTTTTAGCACTTCACCTCAGAGTTCTGCATGAAACTCTCCCTTCATTCACCAACTGTAGAGCTTCTTCATATGCAGCTGCTGGCTTGGAGAGCTGAAAAGGTATTTTCCCAATCTGGAGGGAGTCAAAGAGCTGTAGAGAAAGCAAAAGAGGTCAGAACTTTTTGTTGTATCTGTACAAACAGTGGGCTTCAGAAACAAGAGATTTAGAGTCCATCAGCTTGAGAAAGCATTGACGTGCACCATTTCACACCAAGATACTCAGACTTCACTGGAACTCCCATTATGATTGGAATCACAACTTCCTTAGCCCCAGCATGGCAGAATTCCTCCTTCTACCTCTGTAGAACAAACTGTATTAGCAGGTGCTTCAGCTGCTTTTACTGAAAAGCACATTTCTAGCTACTAGTACATGCTGCTAGATGATGTAGACACATAGTCATAGTCTCCCCAGCATTAGGAACATGGCAGAATGATCAGCATGGGCAAGTTCTCAATGCAGCAAATTAAGTTATGTTTGACTGGTTTATTTGAGTCACCTCTGCAGCAGAGAAGAAGGAGTCCTCGGAAGTCAAACTGTCTTCATCATCAGTCCGAAGTCTCAGTGACTCATCTGTCAGGGGAAGCATGAGAGTTCTCTCTGAAGGGGGCAAGAGAAGTATTCGTTTAGTACTGTACTTCAAGCTCCATTCCTCCCACCCAGCATACTTTTCTCTATATCAGTAATTTTCTCTATATCGGTAGCAACTCAGTACTGGGTTGTGGAATGTCAGGCACTGGATCTCCTTGCAGCAGGTTGCTAAGGCAGCTTCCTGCTCATACTGACACCGCAGACTGCACTGTGCCCCAGAGGCAACCAGCAGTAGGCCCACTCCTCAGGGGGAAGGAGGCAGAGGAGAGTGCGTAAGACTCCTCACACTGCTCCTGCCCCGAGCATTAGCCCTGCACTCCAACTGGCTGGGAACCTGCTGCTGGCTGCTTCTGTGGCACAGCATGGTCTGCAGTGCCAGCGCAGGCCAGAAGCTTGCTGTAGGACCACGCTACACTGCTGACTGCAAGCCCCTCCTGCCCCAGTCCCCTCCAAAGCCGGAGCCCCCTCCTACAGCGCAAAGCTCTCATCCTCAGCCCCACCCTAGAGCCCACACTTCAGTCAAACGGTGTTGGGTCACAGGCATCAACAATTTTCTTCAACTGGGTCATGCGGAAAAAAAGTTTAAAAACTGCAGCTCTATATTAGCAAGTCTTTATGTAGCAGCAGTGCCCCTTTGTGGCAATCTTGAAATTCATCACTTCCTTGATATACTCAATGAAAGATTTGGCTGGCCTTCAGAAGAGACATGATACATGAGGTCTATTAAGAAATATTATGGAGCTAAGGCAGAGGCTTCCTAATTCAAATCTTGTTTTCCACTGAAGAACTGTATTCTCTTTCTCCCACCAACTCTTTTATACTACTAGAAACTAGAGCTCCAGAGCTAGATTCATTACTTTCCCCAGTCTAACACAAAGTAATAATTAGAATCCTGGGACCAGCAGCTGGTAGACTGCAATGGATTGCATATTTCCACTCCTATTGTTCACAGAATGCACACAAGTCAAGGTGTTTTATCTCCTCATATGTCCATCCTATACCACCACTAGACTCAAACTATTGTTACAGCTACTTGGGATATTAGATAGCGTGTAATTGCATAGTCATGAAACTGCATCAAATGTAGCAGTCACACAACTATTCAATAATCCTCAGGGGTCGGGCTGACAGCCAGTGAACTCTGACCCCACTCCCGGGGAGCCCCCTGCCACCACGTGCTACAGCCTATTAGAGGCAGCAGGGCGGGGTGACAAGAAAGGTAGAGCATCTGATAGAGAGGCAACAGTGTGGGGCAGCAGCAGCCTTTGTCCATGGGAGGTCTGAGCTCCCCATGGACAGAGGCTGCTCTGCAGCAGCCCATCTT